CATGAGAAGACAAGTGCTGCCTGTAGAAGTGACAAGCAGAGCCTGAGAGAGGAAGGCCATTTCCTTAGGACATATGCCCCAGGAAGGCGGCGAGGCCACGAGCCTGCCCGCACAGCTTCGGTGGAGTACCTGCAGGAGGTGGCCAGAGTCCGCCTCTGCCTTGACTTGGCTGCTGACTTCCTCTCTGAGCTTCAGGAAGGAGCAGGCAAGTCTCCTCCACAGAGGTCCTCTAATTCAGAAGTCTGAACTCTGGGAAACCTGTTCTTAGGACATGGCTGTCCTCTTCCACAGCCCTTTCCTCTGTGTTCTTCCACCTTGGGACTGTGTTCTATGGCAGTCCTGTCACTGCCCCTCACCTGCTTCCTTCCCAATCTCACAGAACTGGCCGGAGAGAAGCAGTGCTTCCTGAAGCACGTTGAGCAGTTCTGCACCCGCGTCAAGAATGATTGGCACCGTGTGTACCTGGTGAGGAAACTCTCAAGCCAGCGTGGGATGGAATTTGTGCAGAGCTTCTCCAGGCAGGGCCATCCATGCCAGTGGGTGTTTCCCAGTGACGTCATTGCACAGCAGGTGAGGAGCAGGGTCTTGGCCTGGAAGGGCATGCCTCTGACAGCCCTGCCTGCAGCCAACTCTGGCGGGACTGGGTCCTGAAGCTCAGTGTGCTGCTCTCCCGAGCCCTCCCCATCCAGATGGGAAATGGGCCTTTGCCTCTGCTTCAGCATGAATCAAAACACCCCACCACAGGGGGATATTGGTGAGTGTGTTGAGAGTGAGGGTGTGTGTGTGTGTGTGTGTGTGTGTGTGTGTGTGTATGTGTGTACACACACATACACACACAAATGATGTTCTGGTGTGTTCATTTGCATTTTATTTAGGTTTGATTTCTAATTTAGCTGGATACAGGGAAGGTAAAGATTATTTCTACGCTTATAGAAAACTCTGTCCTTTCCACTTCTGGCAGGTGGAAAGAGGAAGGCAAAATAAGAGTGATGACTTTTAAGGCCTTACTCTAGCACTTTTCCTGGTACTCAGAAATCGGTTCTTACTGTCCTGGGACTGTAAAATGGCACTAACAATCCTGGCTTTTTAAAATTATTCCTTCTTCATTATAATCATCATAATAGGCAACACTGGGGCTTAAAAGTGACAATTGTTTTGTCACTTGGGCTCGATACAGTGCTGTGAGTGGAGAAAGCAAGCAGGTACGAAGTCAGTACCAGCCCTCCCCTGGCTTCCAGTGCACAGAAGACCCAGATGTCTCCCAGAGATAGGCATCTGTGCTCCCTGCTCAGCCGGGTCCAAGTCTCAGGACAGCCTGCTGCCGTTGTCTGTCTAGAGTTCTTTGCAGTCTCTCTCCTATTATCCCGCTCTGATTAACCCTCGGCACTGCTGGGATTGCAGAAGGACGACCCAAGCCACATGGACCGATACCTAGTACATGGTGATGAATACAAGGCTCTTCGTGATGCAGTGGGCAAAGCTATGCTCGAGTGCAAGACCTCGGACATTGGGACTGCGCTGATGGTAAGATGCATCTGGGCTTTTCTCTGGGACCAGGAGGCTCTCCCTGGAGGCCTGCATCTTCCCGTGCATACATCAAACAAGAGACTGTGCAACTGAGTAGCCCCCTAGAGTGATACTGTACTAGAAATAGATATACATACTCCTGCCCTACATGGGGAACTGAGGGCTGGAATGGGTACCGTGACACTTACGACAGGACACTACTGTGGCCTGTCGTAATGGGGACCCTGGTGAGGAGCTGCTCCAGGCTCACTGAGACCTGAAGAAGGCTGGCACTCCTCACAGCCTCCTCTGTATGTTCATGCTGTACACATGCTCCTGACCGTTCTGACAATGATGCCAAGGCTTTTAGAATTCTGACCTGAAGGCTGTTCTGGCTTCCTGTTTGAGACCCTGCTCGCACTGCCATTGTGCTGAGAAGAGGACACAGACATTCTGTCTCTGCTCAGGAAGTGTTTCTGATAGCAGGAAATCGTCACCAAGAAGACAGATGCTGGCTGTCTAGCAATGTGCATGAACCATGGAACCACAGAGCTGTGGCCAGGAGACGCCTCCCCTTTCCTCAGACGTGTGGTTCAGGCCTGAGAAGAGCAATGTCACCTCTGAATCTCACGTGATGTCTTTGCCTCTGCAGACCTGCAGAAGCCCCAAAGCCCAGCAGACGGCCTGCCTACTGCTGGCCTTGTACAGAGAGGTGGCGTCGTTGTACTGTTCCCGAAATGCCAGCCTCCATCCAAAACCGGAGGTGAGCAGCCCAACACCGCAGGGATCTGTCCCAGTCTCATCTCTTAGAAGGATTTCTGAGTTAAAGTCACAAACACGAATTATGTCCATAATTCTCATGTGTCATAGAGGTTTTCAGCCTTACTAGATGAAGATCTGTTTTCACTTTAGCCCAAAGCTTGTAGAATTAGAACTAAAATTTGATCAAATTATACGATAACGTGGGGCTATTTCCAAGTGAGGTCTCCTCTCTGAGGAATTGCCCTTCAGCTGCTGATTGTTCAGCCACATTTATCCTGATATTTGGTATTAAAATCTGGACTACTAAAGCACACACAAACCATGAAATTAGTGTTTTGTTATGGAGGCCCACAGAGGCTGGCTAGCAAGACCTTACTCAGGGCCAGAGACTCTCAGCTTGCTTTACCCATTAGACTTCATAATCAGATGATTTGGCCAGGGGCATGTTTAACGGGTGTTTGGAAGGGTCCACACTTGGTTGTACGGTGTGCTTTGATCTTGCAAGGGGGAGGTCTTTTGCCTCTCTCCTTGGCATATTATAAAAAGCCCTTTTGGCCAGGTGGTGGCAGCAGCGGTGCACGCCTTTAATCCCAGCACTTGGGAGGCAGAGGCGGGCAGATCTCTGTGAGTTCAAGGCCAGCCTGGGCTACCAAGTGAGTTCCAGGAAAGGTGCAAAGCTACATAGAGAAACCCTGTATCGAAAAACCAAAAAAAAAAAAAAAAAAGCCCTTTTGAATAAAGCTCTGGGTACAGCTGGGTATTGACCCAGGGCCCTCCCAAAGCTATCCTGTGTCTGTCTTTCTCCTCATCATTAGGTCTATCTTTCTACCTAATATTTCCTCATTCCTCTATCCTCCCCCCAAGAACCCTTCAAAAGGTGAGAACAGGTCGAAGCTGGACTCCAGTGGACTCCCACATTTTGTTATGATTTTTTTTTTCGCAGTGCTTGGGATGGCATTGTGTCTGCTGGGTATGTGCATATCACAAAACATCTCAAATCTGTGTTTCTGTTTTTGTTTTTTGAGACAAGGTATTGCTGTACATGTGTAGGCCATGCTGGGCTCAAACTCATGATCCTCTTTCCTCTGCCTTCCAGGTCCTGGGATTATACATGTGCATCACCACACTCATGTACAATGTTTGGGTTGGGGTGTGGTGTTTCTCTGCTTTTGGATACAGGGTATCATGTAGTCTGGGCTAGCCTTGAACTTCTGATTCACCTGTCTCTATCTCCCAAATGCCCGGGCATGTACCAGTGTGCCCAACCCTACAAGTTGTTTTGAAACATGTTAATGCTAAAAATTTTTTCTCATCAGCAATGCGAGGCTATGAACAAATTCATTGAGGAAAGCAAGATCCTTTCTGCTCCTAACATTGGACGCTTTGCAAAATCGCTAGTGGATGATGCTCTGCCCCTGCTGAGGACCAGATCTGCTAACAGCAGCCTGGAAGGAACAGTGACTGAAATGGCCGTCCATGCTGCAACCATATTCCTGTGTGGAAAAAACAAAGTCTTGGAGCCCCTGAGGAACTTGGCCTTCTATCCGGCCAAGATGGCAGTAAGATCACCTTAGGGCTTTGTCCCTGTGGGGAACAAACCTCTGGATTTGGGGACCATGAAACCCATTTGTTTCTTGATTTTAATCCATGTGACCACACTGATGGTGAAAACTTGGCCTGCCCTTGTCTGCCTCCCCCCACTCCTGAGCATTGTATTAGTCAGGCTTAGGCTGATATACACAATGCATTCTGGGTAGGAGAGGCTGAGAACCCCATAGCTGCTCAGTCCGTGAGAATCTGTAGTCCCAGTCTGACACTGAAGACCTAGAGGACTCCTGGAGAGACCCGATGTCAGTGACGGATGGCAGCAGGAGCCATAGGCAGATGAACTCATTACTAATTCGCAAACAGTAGATGAACTTGCCAGCACAGTGGGAGGCAAACAGCAAAGCTTTTCCCTAGGACTCACCTTTATATGCAGAGGTGCGACTCACATCTTGGGTGGGTCTTCCCACTTCAAATAACCTGATTGTGAAAATCCCTCATAGGTATGGCCAGCAGTTTATCGCTTAGCTGATTCCAGATCCAATCAGATTGATTGACAGCCAAGATTAGCCATCATAGGCATCCCTGGCACACAGTTTTCAGGCTGAGAAGTCAAGGCCCTCCTTGCTCTGGCCTCTGGCTGTAAGGCCATGCAGTCACATATCATGACCTGTCCCACTTTGGTCTTTCAGGATGCTTATCTTCCAACAATGCCTGAAGACCTGCTGGTTCAAGCCAGGAGTTGGATGGGCGTGGAACGTCTTGTCTGGTACAGTAAGTGTTGGAATCATACTCTTCTGAGCACAAATGATCACCCTGTGACTGCACAGGCTTTGTGCTGTGCTTGGGGTCCACTGTTGCCTTTGATGGTTTGCAGGACAACAGTGGTTTACAGGACCCATGATCTGCTTGTCATGTGGGCCCAACCCTCTTACATCTGAGTCCAGGCAAAGAGCCCTTTGCAATGCACTTCTGCTTTCCAGAACATTGCATTTGGGAAAAGAGGGGACTCGAACCACACTGAAACTCATACAAAGACAGGGCACAATACAGCAGTTTTTT